GGTAATAAGGGAGGTTTAGGATACAATAAAAATGATCATAATATTGCCGGTACGTCCAATACCACATTTGTCACTGGTACTGACCAGCTTAAACAAGTGCCAGATCCTGAACTTAATAATTAAGAATATGTAGGGCAGAAACCTAGTAGACAGCGTAGGGCCCACCACCTAGGAATAGATATCAGCGATCATATACCTTTAGTCCTAGATTTATCCTTACGTGTTTTCACTCCGTCAAGTTATGACACATAAGGCCTAAGTGTCGTTATTCTTAAACAGAAATAGAAATCGGAACTTAAATAGAAATAAGAATCAAGATTACATTGGTCAGATTGACTTCCTTACTAATCAGGTAAGTAAATTGGCTATGTTAATGACACAGATGAACGAAAATGTTTCTATCACTAGGCAAGTTTAGGTGAAGAAAATTAATTTAAAATTTTTTGAAATAGATTACGGTGCTCTTAAAGTTAAGAGCATTTGCATACCTAACTGATTAGTTATTTTTAGTGCATGCTCATACTGTATCATTATGTGACATTGATTTATGCATATATCATATTTGTTTATTTATTTTCTATGTAGAAAACTCATGCATTTTTTTATTTATTTTTGTGTGTTTTGACATTTTGTGTGTGCTTGCTGCATTCATACTTTAAAATAAAAACAACAAGAAATGAAAATTTGAAAAATAAAAATGCAAGAAATTTTTTTTACAGCATATTATGTAATATACTTGAATTTGTTTATTGTAATCAAGCATGTATTTAATCGATGAGCTATAACATAGTTTTCATTGCTGGCTTAAGTTATTATGGAGTATTTAGTGTAGGTGTTTTCATGTACCATCTGCACTACACACACTATGATATTGTTAGCGGGACTCTACTGCCTATATGAGATTTGAGATGGCAGTCACATGTTAGTAAGGTGACTTTGAACACAAATTGACCAAATTTATTAGATATAAGCTCAAAGTTATCCTCAACAATAAAAAGTTCAATATCTTATGTTCTTCTTCAGAACCTATTTGACTCAAGCAATTAAGTATGTGGAGATTCTCATAACCTGATGTTTATGGTCAACTGACTTGAGTTAACCGGTCTAAAAGTCGTTATATAGGTCATTTTAGTCGCTTAATAGAGAAGAGCTTGAACTTAAGATATAAAAAATAATAAGGAGTTTAAAATATTGAAAGATGTAAAAATAAAATATGCTCAAAGTCAGGGGGGAAAAAAGAAAATATCCATACAAAAGAGTTTTTTTTATATGTCATAATGTGTTTTACATGGTTTTACTTTCAAAAGTAGATGAATACGCTTATTGACAGTGATATTTAGCATATCATTTTTCATAAAATTAAGGTTTGGAGTCTTACTTATAAAAGATTAGTGACACTTTACACATATGAGTCACTTATACAATTTACTCCATGTTAACTTGAACTGAGTATGTGAGAAGGTTTACTGTACATTAATTATACTTACGTACGGTAACGACTGCATTCTTGAGTGATTATATGTTATTGTTAAAAGTTTTTTTATTCCTTCATCATTTGTGACAAAAGGGGAAGAGAAATAGGTAAAACATTTTTGTTGTTGAATTAGTAAAACGGGAAGGAGAGTAAAGTAAAATTTAATTTTTGTTTTTGAATTTTGATTACATTCCATATCATAATGCATGGCTGATTGTGTTTTTGATATTTTTGTGATGCTAATGTTTTTGTTGGTGTTTGGATTTAACATTAGTGTTACATCTCAATCTAGTTAGTTTTGGTATCATGTGTTTAATTGCTATATTCAGTTTGATGAAGTTTGGATAGTTTAGATTTTTCCTTTTTTTTTTCCTTGAATTATTGTATAGTTTTGTCACAGAATGTCAAAATGGGAGTTTGTTAGGTTTTTAATGTTGGTGATTCTATGAACAAAATGACTAATTTGAAACGTATTGTAAAAGTCAATGACATATGGTGCAATTTGAACAAGTTGAGTTATGAGGTTTAGGGTTCGAGCATGAAAATAGGAGAAACACGATGCTACATTTTCGTTAGCTTTTCGCCCAATTGGCGCTCGAACGACAAAAACATAAACAATGTCACCCGCCTGTGGTCGATCTCTCGCTCGAGCGACAGTGCGTTGCTTGCCTATTGCCAGCTTATCGCTCGAGTGACAGTCGATCCAAAAAACCCTAATTTGCTGTTTTGAAGTATTTTTTTCGGCCCATTCAACCTAATTACCATCTCCTATAAATACCTAAGCCTATGCATGAAATTTGGCGTGGTTGTTCATTGTGCCTCTTCTCTATAATACTTCCATATTATTCTTTGAAGATTCAAGAGCTTGTTTATTTATTGACACAACCACGGATTCGGGGGAAAAACATCGAATCCATAGAATCCAAAACACCTACTTCCCAAACACACTTAGGAATGTACTTTCTCAGTTGAACTTCAAAAGCTACTAGAGGTTGAAAGATGTTGGACTACAAGTGCAGGAAAAGCACAAGAATGGGAAATTCTTGAAATTCCACTTGGAAGAGACAATTGCAAAAGATCGGGCGCTAGTGGGTTCAACGGATCTTGGAGGTTACATGAATTAGATCGCGAAGTCTAGTGGAGCTGGCTAGACAACATTTTACTGTAAATCCATATTATCTATAGTGGAGGTAATTGGCTTGGTCTCGAAATTTTTACCCAATTGGGTTTCTCCATCATCAATATTGGTGTTATTTATTGTTTTCTTATTACAAACTGCGATAATTCAATTTAGGATAATTGGACTGTTTGTTTAACTATTTAGAAACAATTAAAAGTGACTTGTTGTTTATTAATTGTATAATTCCGTACGTAATGTCAAACTTACTTAGTTAACCTTGTAATTTCATATTGGATATTGAAAAATTCTTAGGGTTCATACTGGGGAGAAAATGGGTACATAAGAGTGCAAAAGGACATCAAAGCCAAAGAAGGTATGTGTGGAATTGCTATGCATGCTTCATATCCCACAAAATAAGTTTAGAAGTTCCTCTTTGGAATTAGTTTATCTATCTAGATTGCCAGTGGAATAATGGAAGATATGAGATACAAGTTTCTACTATTGAACTATGGTGACAGAATTTTGAATAAATGTTTAAAATCCGACAATTACATTTACAAATAGACAAGTGTGTCTACATAGGATTTTTAATTTTTAATTTTTAATTTTTTTTTTTTTTAGCTTCAATCATCTTTAAATTGTCATGAACAAAAGATGAAATAAGATGAAGACTATAATTAGACCATCGGGGAATGAGTAGCGAAGAAGACAAGAATGTGATGACATATAGCACAACTTACCTTCTTGTTCCTGAATCACCTTCAATGAATCACAGTTCTCTTTAAATCAAATATAGCATTTATAGTAATATTAATGGTTCATTCTTTCGACTATAGTCATCAACTACAACTTCATCCCTAGCATAAGCTATTTCCCTAGGTATGTCCAATCTAATTTTGGGTCCATGAAATGCAAGATTAAAATTAATTCTCGATTTTGACCTCAATTTATTAAGTTTTCCCTGAGAAATACTTAATTATCTGTGAAAAAAGCCATATTTTGGGTACTATAGATGCAATAGTAACCAATGAGATATTGTTGTTCATTTTACAAGTTTTCACTCCTCCAGTCCTCAAGTTTTATACGCATAATTTGTTCCCCAATCTGCTATAAAAACGACGTCGTATTAGACTTTGAATTGCATTATTCTTTCTTCTTGTCTATAAACTCATATATTTAGAAGGAATTGGAGAGTGACGATGTGTAGTGAGTGTTGTTGGCATCGGAAATCAAGGAGGTTCGCAACCTTTGTTTTTATTTTGAAGAATTTGATTTTATTTTCTCTGTAATGGAAGATAAATTGGAAATTGGTTTCAAATTTGTGTCCACGCTGCGTGGAGTTCAACTTTTGTACATGCATTGGTCTAACTTTTTCCCTTCTATTTATGCTACTTGTGTTTCATACTTCATGGCATGTGTTAAATTATTGCTACCTTGTTACAATTCTAAATGTATTAGTAGAATCATTTTTTTTTTCCTAGAATCCCCTTTTTACAAAAAATAAAAAATAAATCCATTCCACCTTTATAGAGTTTCCAATTTTTTTAACTAAAACACTCATTTATCGTAGTACTATATACTACTGTATTAATTCTTGGTCTTCCTCTTCCTTTTTCTCTAATCTATTCACAATTTTCTCACTTGTTATTTCTATATTGGTATATGCCAAAACATAGAAGCATTTGACAATGTGTTTATGAGTAAGGGAAAGATGGTGGTGAGTAGTTGGACTATGGTTTGAAAAGCCATTTGAGTTATTTGAAAAGTCGGAGTATCTTATTCTATCTATTTTGCACACAATCTTCAAGTTGAACTCAATTAGATGAACCGTGTCGAATGTTGAAAAATATGAAATATGCGAAACTATACCAGCAAAACAGTTGATGTAACCTTACTCATGTATTATTTTTATTAACCTATGTGTGATAGAATGCTGTTGTGAGATTGTAAAAGTCATTAACGTGTTGCAAAATTTTTCTGACATCGTGTAGAAATTGATATAAATGTGTTACTTTTTCTTTATAATCATTTGTTTATTTTCAACATCTCTTCTTTACACACATTTTCATTAATTTTAACCAATGTTTGTAAATGTTGCCTGATTTCTTCAAAAACATTAAAAAAAAAAAAACTACAATTCATATACTAATGAAAATATGATAAATACAAAACTCGTGCAACGCACGTGACAGCGACTAAAAATTATAAAACAGTAAATTGAAAGTTGGACCTAATTGAACTCCTAAATTTCTTAAAAACCCACACTTACATATAAGATAATTCACTGAATATATGAAATATTTATAGCTAGCAATTATTATATTGGTTCAATAACTCTTCAAGATTATAGGCTTCTACTCTGTATTGGCGTATAAAAATATTACAATTCTCTAATCGAATACGAATATGCGTTGTCAACCTACGGAATTTCTCTACAGATTGAACCCACCAACAGTCTTTTCTCTTGCATCGGCTCTACAGAATTACATCAACTCAGACCATCCTTCCCATGGCCAAAAGATCCATTCCCACATCCTTAAAACTGGGTTCAAACCCGATGTTAATATCTCTATCAAGCTCCTTATACTTCATGTCAAATCTTCTTGCTTGTCGTACGCTCGCCATGTGTTTGATGAATTGCCTCGACAAACTTTGACGGCGTATAATTACATGATCTCGGGCTATATAAGAGATGGGCTTGTTGAGGAATCTTTTGATTTGGTTAGAAAGCTGTGTTCTTCTAATGAAATGCCTGATGGGTATACCTATTCCATGATCCTGAAAGGGTCAACTAGTGGGAATGTAGCAATACGTGCACGGTCTATAGGGAGGGAGGTTCATGCTCAGATTTTGAGATCTGACGTTGAGGTTGATGATGTGCTTTACACAGCTTTGGTTGACTCATACGTGAAGAGTGAGAGGGTGGCGTGTGCGAGAAGAGTGTTTGATTTGATGTTGGAGAAGAATGTGGTATGTTCTACGTCAATGATCACGGGTTACATGAACCATGGGCGTGTGGTGGATGCTGAGGATGTGTTTGCGAAGACGGTGGAGAAAGATGTGGTGGTTTACAATGCTATGATTGAAGGTTATAGCAAGTCAATCGAAACAGCCAAGCAGGCGATTGAGTTTTATATTGATATGCAACGGCTAAGATTTAGGCCCACCATATCAACTTATGCGAGCATCATTGGAGCTTGCTCTGTGTTATCAGCTTTTGAAATCGGTCAGCAAGTTCAAGCACAGCTTGTGAAAACAGAGTTTTTAACGGACATAAAACTGGGAAGTGCTCTGATAGACATGTACTCCAAATGTGGGCGAATTGATGATGCAAGATGTGTATTTGATCACATGCCCACGAAGAATGTATTTTCCTGGACTTCCATGATTGATGGATACGGGAAGAATGGATGTCCAAATGAAGCACTTGAGCTCTTTGATAGAATGATTATGGAGTGTCGCACTGGACCAAATTATGTTACATTTCTTGGTGCTCTATCTGCTTGTGCCCATGCAGGATTAGTTGTTAAAGGACGGGAGATCTTTCAGAGCATGTATAGAGATTATTCAGTAAAACCAAGAATGGAGCATTATGCTTGTATGGTAGATCTATTAGGACGAGCAGGAAGTTTGAATCAAGCTCTTGAATTTGTAATGCAAATGCCTGAAAAGCCTAATTGTGATGTTTGGGCAGCTTTACTCAGTTCTTGTAGACTACACGGAGATGTGGAGCTAGCTAACATAGCTGCCAATGAGCTTTTCAAGGTAAATGTTAAGAGTCGGCCTGGGGCATATGTTGCATTATCCAATACATTAGCCGAGGCAGGCAGATGGGATAATGTGAGTCAACTCAGGGGGTTGATGAAGGTAAGGGGAATACTGAAAGGTACTGGCTTCACTTGGGTTGGGAGTGATACTAGTTTAGAAGCTTTCCATGCTGGGCAGCACTTGTGAGACAATGGTAAAATATCAGTAACATGAGAATTTATCTGTATGCAAAATCTCAAGCCCGTTGATATTAGACCAGAAAAATAGATCGGTAACTCCATACTATTCTCGGTCCAGAGATTGAGGTTATTGATGATTGTCAAGTAATCGACTTCAATGCTGCTGATTGCAAATGAAGTACTCTGGGGTGAGTTGTCCGAGCACCGAGATAATTGTTCCATGAGCTTAAGATCATTCTTATCTTCATGAAAAGACGAGGAAGACGTCTGGTCTATCAAGGTTTATGTAACATGATAAGAATCCAGAAATTTTTCAACATGATAAGAATCCAGAAATTTTTCTTTATTGAAACAAGACATGGAGACTTCACTGATGAAGCCAACGTGAACAAGATGATATCCTCAATGATGGATAAGCAGCACACACTGGGATTGATATATAGGCTATTGAAACTCGGGCAAGCTCTAAGAGAGAACTTCAGAAGCTAAGCAGACGATATACTAAAGAACAAAGCAAAGCTTGACATAGCTAGCAGAGAGGAAGATTGAAATTTGTTTTATCAAATGCCAATTTTGAATTAAATATCCAGTCAATTTATTGAGTTTTTTACAATGAACATATTATGTTTCTGAATTTATCTTAGATATGACAGTTTTTCTTATTATTCTCATATCAGAAAAGTGTTCCTGCGCAACTCGTACACATCCACTGGAATATAATTCAGAAGCAGGAATTTAAGTGTCTTTTGCTTCCTAGGTTGGCATCAAGGTATACAGCTGACACAAGCCAGGAAGTTGTAATTTGTGGTCAACCGTGGCAAAAATTATTTGTGATGGTAAGGCTACCATCACAAAGTTAACTCTTCGGTGTAGTTTTAGCCAGTCACTGTGGTAAGTAACTATTCTTCGTCAAATGTCAATGACTATCCAGTAGTGTTTTTCGATTTGTCCAATGAGTTCTATGCAGCACCAGGGCTGTCTTTCTTGATTACACGACAATGCTCATTGTTCCTTATAATATAAATATCATATGAAAATGAAGTAAATTGTGACACGAAATGTAGACAATGTTAATGTATCAGCCAATCTGGGACTGACAGGGTGCGCTAAAATACATTATTCTGGAACGTTTGACTAAAAATGATAATATTACTGATCTTGGAAAAAAAAAATGTGCTGGTTTAGCCAGCTAAGACGTATTTGAATTCATTTCTAACTTCCCTGCTAATATATAAACTTGGCGTCCTCCATCGAGTCATTGATTGCTTATCAGTTTGGCCGAGAAGAAGAAGAAGAAAGAGCAGATATGTGCTTTTCCTGTGGTGATGATTGTCGGTGCCGCCCTTTGGGGTTTCTGCTCGGCCTTCCCTTTGCCTTTGTCTCTCTTCTCCTCTCCATAATCGGAGTTGTCATCTGGATTGTCGGGTTAGTATCTTTTCTTTCTTTGTTTCGTACAATATATTCTATAATATCCATTAGTAATGAATTCAAGAAATACTTAAAAGAATTCTTTTAGAATTGTAACTAAAACTTGGACATGTATTGCAGGATTACGCTGAGCTGCTTGTGTCCATGTTGCTTGTGCGTGACTGTGTTGGTAGAGCTCGGTTTGGCTTTAGTCAAGGCTCCATTTTCCGTCATGAAGTGGTTCACCGAGCAGATTCCCTGTTAGATTATATAGTTTTCATCAAAAATTTTAGAAGTTGGAACTATTGTATCATGAGTAATGCTAGTTAGATCAATCGGGATTACAACTTTAGTTTAGACGACGTTAGTATGGCATTAAATGATAATATATCATCTAGTGCCATCTAGACTTGGGTCATAACCGCAATAGGTGGAGACTATATAGCATTACTCTTGTATTATCCTGTTAAATTCTTATGAATTATTTAGTTTTTCCATGTATATTTTTTATACATTTATTTGTGTAACTCTTAATTATTATAGTTAGTTCTAATTCATTTCCATAGTTACCAATTATTGTAATTTCATCTCATCGTTATAAGATTTCGTTTGTGTCAGATAGTTTTTGGATCGAAGTGAAGGAGTACAGGGGGCAGAGCTAGGATTTTTTGTCAAGGTGGGCACACTTTATCAATGTTGAATGTCGAGTTTTTGTCATGGATATAATGATAATAAAAATATAAAATAATATTACAACAATACTAAAAATGACATAGTTTATAAATTACACTTGTTCATTTCGAGTTTTCATACTTTGATATCGTTGCACAATAATTTCACTATCGAACTTCAAAAATATATTTTTCTCTACATAAACAATTGTACTATCATTCATCCACTGATCACCCATTTGATTCAATCTATCATTTACAATACTCATTGCATAAAATGCTCTCTCCACAATAACAGTAGCAACCGACAGAATCAATGCTAAAGTCAAAAGCTTGTAAACCAATGGATATACCATATTTTTCTTTGTCAGAACTAACTTTTCTGCAAGATCACCAAGGCCGTTCAACCCTTCAAATTCTTTGTTAGAGCGCATGTC